AGTTTTTGGCCAGGGCTGGGTTTGAACCCACCACCTCTGGTACCCTACTCCTTTGAGCCACAGGTGCCACCCAGGATTGCTTTTTATTACCAAGAATCATGCAATAAGTAATCTATTTGAGAATTTCATTTGCTATGTAGATCTTTTTTTTTAACAATGTGACACCCTACAATCTTCTCACCACTTTCTATTATAGCTTTGAAAGAAGCATCATGCTTCTCTGATAAAGAAGGCTATTTTCTCAAAAGATAAAAATGAGATTATGCATTATGAATGATGTGTCTTCTTCCTACCAGACCAGAAAATAATCTGTGGTCCTAGACTCAGGAGGTCATAATTATGCTGTTTTTATAACAGCAATTCGCCAAATGGATTTTGTCACTGAACAGTCCAATTAAGGACCTCCTCTACTGTTAATCCAGTTAACCTTGCCCGTGTTGGTGAACTCTCAGGCCTCGTCTGTACCTCGCAGCTGCCACACAGAGGTTTCTGCAATTTTCTGAAGCTTTAATAGCTCTGCTTCAGTTTTACGATGCATTCTGCAGGGAGTGAGGTGCAAGGAAAAGAACTAGGATGCTGGTGTCTCACTGCCTGCCCACTCTTCTCCTGGCCTCCCCGCCTGACCGTACCTCTCCGCTCATTGGTTCATACCAAAACAATAAAATGCAGGGAAGAACTGCTGGAAAGGAAGCAGAGAGGAAGGAGGAGCAGCGTGCATGCAGTTTTCTCAAAGTCAGACTAGGTGGGCTGAGTCTAAGAGCGACTTTCCCCTGCTGTTTTAATGTTATAAGATGAGATAATAGAAATTATAGAGATAAGTCTAAGGGCAAGTTATATTGTTGATAAAACTGATTTCAATTGTGAGAGGAACCACATTCTATGGAAAAGAATGCCCACTCCTCTAACACAATTACTACTTTTTACTCATTGCTTCAGGATGTCTTATGTATACAAATATCTCATTATTTGAGGAACATAGGACTTAATGCACTTAAACGCCCATCAGTAATTTTCTGTCCTAAGGTCCTAGTTCATGGCTATATTTGCACCTATATCCTAATTTTCTTTCCCTATTCTCTCTTGTTAAACTTAGGTGGTTTCCTTTTTTTTTTTTTTTTTTTTTTTACTCTAAGTACTACACCCAATTATAGGGTAAGTGGCTGTGATAAAGGGGCACCAAAATGCGTTCACTCAAGACAATGTCCGCTTCTCACGTGAAAGTCTGGATTCAGGCAGGCAGTCAGGAGAGCTGGCAGCTCTGCTTTGTTCAGGGACGTTGTTCTCATCTCTTACTGATACACAGTCCCACTATGACAGGGT